TTATATATTACATGATTCCATTTATACATAATTTTGATAATATGCAAATCCACAGAGGCAGAAAGCAGATAACTGGCTGGCCTAGGGCTAGAAGGAATGGGAGGTAATGAGGGTGATGGCTAAAGGGTATGAGGTTTCTTTTGGGGGTGATAAAAATGGATTGTGGTGATGGCTGAACAACACTGAATATACTAAAAACCACTGAACTGTACACTTTAAATGGGTAAATTGTACAGTATGTGAATTACATCTCAATAAAGCTGTCACAAAAAGAAACAGCAAGATTGAATCATACCACCAACTACTATCACTTACTTTATATAAGAAAGGATTATTTTAACACTAAAAAAGGCAGTAAGAACCTAAGAATAGAAAAATAAGGACAGTTCATTCAACTGAATAAATTTAACTTAAGTGAAAAACTCTTCTTTCTTTTTAATCACAGACGAATATTTCAAAACTACTGATATATTTAGCTAAGGTCTCTGCTAATTTCAAAGTCTGTGATTCTAAATTTCCATGTCTCCTCCACCGCAGTGGGAAGTTCAGCTCCCTCCAGAGATTTATGGCTCCACAGCTCCACTGCCCCATTCTAGGGAACACTCCACCCCTTGTGACCACTCTCCTCTACCTGGTCTCTTTTCTCTATGTTAATGACCTTTGTTATCTTTTCCTTAGGGTGATTCTGGAGGGCCTCTGTCATGTCAGATTGATAATATATGGATCCAGATAGGACTGACAAGCTGGGGAGTGGGATGCAGTCAATCTTTTCCTGGAGTCTACACCAGTGTGATCTACTATCAACAATGGGTTAACACCGTTATCTCAAGAGCTGAGGTCTTGGCTGCCAACAATCTGGACTTACTTGACTTACTGTCCTCTATTGTACTGCTTTCTCTGGCTCTCCTGGGACCCTCCTATGCCTTTGGGCACATTTCCCTAGGAGAGTAGGCAGTATAGCTGAAACTCCTGGCCAAGTACAGAGCTAGAAAGGGAAGGCACTGAGAATATACCTCAGGGGCAGAGAACTCATAAGGAGGGTCACTGGGAACTCTGGATCACTTCAATAAAATAATTAGAAATAATTTCTTTTTGAGATTCTTGATTCTGGAAGTATGTTTTACTGCTTGGAATGTGAACAGCTGAGAAATAAGGATGCCACTTCAGTGCATGGCATTCTTTGTCCCTGACTATGCATCTTGCAAGGCAGGAAGGATGCTTTCTATGAATAAGCATTTATGGACACAAACTAAATGGCGACAGAAGCAGGCAAGAAAACAAGTATCTGTGAAGGCAAAAGGAAAGGTCCTCAAGAAAGTATATTAAGGGCTCACTTCATGTCCATGGGTTGCATTACGAGTTTCTTGCCAGGTCTGTGTTTTTGTACTTCCTCCACTATCTTATGCTTCTCCTCTGTGGCAAGGTGTCAAATAAGAAATCCATGTATGTAGTTCAGCTCTGTGTATTTCTGAAATTTTTACTTTTTGAAATATCAATGTGATACCACTAAAAATGGGTTAATGCAATAATCTCAAGAGCTGAGGTCTTGCGTTTCAATAATCTGGACCTACCCAGGTTGTTTAATGTCATTTCTATTATAAAGTACCTTAAATGTTTATAAGGAAAAGATTATATCCCTTGCTTAACTAGCATGCTCCTTTTTGTTAAATAATCACATGACCTATTCTATTTCCTCTTCTGCCTAGGCTTCCAGGTGTTCAGAGTTAAGCTCTATACTCGATTTCAGTCATTATCTTTATCCTATAACTATCTGGTATAATTCTACTCATACCCCTTTTTATTTCAATCATCCTTTCTCATTTGAATGAATTTAGTTTCATTGCATCTGTGTCCTTTATGGTAAGTCGACCTTCAAAAACAATTTTTTGGATAAATACACTTAATAGGAAGTGAGGGTAGGTCTGGAAATTTAAAATCTTTGCTAACCCCCTAACCTCACCTCTCATCTAGACTCCCACTAGAGCCTCCTAACTGCCATTCCGTTTTGTCACTTACACTTATGCTCAACTTCATTTATTCTCCACACAATTCAGACTAGTGTTTTAAAAATAAAGATTTAAAAAATACTTTTCTACCCTTTCCCCTGTGTACAACAGTCCAGAATGAGAACCGAAGTCTCTAAAAGGACCTATGAGGCCCTGTTGGATCTGACCCCAGTCTGCCTCTTCAGCCTCATTCGGCCTCACCCCACCTGCTCTCTGTGCTCTCACTTCCTCAGATACTCCAAGCCTCTTCTAAGCACTGGAATTTTTTTTTATCTGCTATTTCCTCTTCCTTACTGCCTTTGCCTACTTAGTTCTTACTGTGCCTTCAGATCTCAACTCACTCTTCACTTTCTCAAGGAAGCTGTCCCTAGCTCTCCTGATGAGAACAAATCCTCCCAATACATATTCTCATAATACTATGGAGCCCTCCTTGATAGGACTCCACATAGCTGTCATTTAACATTCATTTGTGTAACTGTCTAATTAATGTATGTCTGTCTTACTAAAATATAATGAGGTCCATGAGAGTAAGAATTTTAGTTTTTGCCACCAACTATATTCCAGTCCTAATAAATATTTGTGGAATGAATGAATGAAAAACACAGAATCTCTTTGTTTCCCCAACTAAGAACCTGGGCGTTTTTGTTCAGAGATAGCCCAGAGCCCAGTACAGTATCTTACAGAAAGGAGGTTTTCAAATACTAGTTACATAAAAGGATGAAGGGAGGAAAGAATGTTTCAGTGCCATTCTCCTTACCTCTTTCCAGCTATACGGCACAAAGGAACAAACAGTACACAAAGCAGGTAAATTGAAATGTTTCTCAGAGACAACAATTCAAGTTAAGCAAGCTCTGGAATGACATAGAGGGCAAAGTAAAATGGCAGCTGAGAGAAAAGAACAAGAGAGAGAGCAGGGGCAAGAAAGAAAAATGGAGAAGAAAGGACAGACTAAAATCAAGAACTGGAGAATAAACAGGAAGAGAAAACACACAAATGTATGAGCCAGGATAACAGCAAGAGGACATAAAGGTCAAAAGAGTCAAAACACTGCTTCCTGTCATTCCTCCAGACCCTTGGGAAGCAACTGTTCTGCAGCATGGAAATCCGACAAAATTTTTCTCATGAACGAGTTGAAATTTAAAACTTTTGTAGAGACCAGCCCATTCAAATGGAAAGAAAGTGGTATCTAAAGAAGACCACATGACCTCACTGTCCAGATCACTCCTGGCTGGACTTACTAGGGATGAGCACCTGACTTAAGAGCTGCCTAGCGGGTCATGGGGCAGTTGGCCTAGCATCTTATTCAACTGATGCACTAAATACTGGACAACCCAACAGACCCTTCTCCTGGGAAATCTGAACATGGGCCCTAATGGTATGTCAGTATGCAATCAACAGTATTAAGTGCCCACCATGTTCTAGGCACTGTTCTAGGTACTGAAGATACGGCAGCACATGCAACACAACAGAGCCTGTGTTCTAGGAGTTTATATTCCAGTGGTGGAGAGAGACAGTAACCAGATGCAAAATACAGCCCTCCCTCCGTATCCATGTGGGTTTGTCCTAGGACCTCCACGGATACCAAAATCCATGGATGTTCAAGTTCCTTATATAAAATGGCCCCAGTAAGTCGACTCTCCATATCTGTCAGTTCCAATTCAACCAATCCCAGAGATGCAAAAACCCTGGTTACGGAGGGCCAACTGTAAATGTTTATTATACTGTTAAGTACAAGAATGTCTGGTAAAGAAAAATAAAACAAAAGCAGCAGATAAGGTATCAGGGTGGGGGAATTCCACTTTAGATAGGGTGGTCAGGGAAGTATCTCTAAGGAGGTGACATTTAGAGAGGCCTGCATGAAAGAGCGAAGCAAGACAAATACCTGGGAAAGAACATTCCAGGTAGACAGAACAGCCAGTACAAAGGTTCTGAGGTGGGAGGGCACTAGGTGTGTGTGAGTTAGAACAGAGGTCACTACCGGAGTACTGTGAGCAGGGGGATTGGGTGAGAACTGAGAGGGGAGCAGCACCCTGGTAGGCCTCAGTAAGGACTACAAATTGTATTCTCAGTGGGATGAGAGGTCTGAAGGCAGGGTCAAGGAATAGAAGAATAGAAAATCCCACACCACAGCTCATGCGGGTATGCAGAGGCCATGAGGGAATTAGGATGGTAGAGAGCGTAGCTAGGATGGCAGCAGAAATAGACAAGAAGCAGAAATAATGAGACTCAATACAAATGAGCTAACAAGCAAAACACTAGAGGGCTTTGGTACCCAAACATCAGTGAGGAAGGTTTGATTCCATGAGGCTGTGTGCTGTTTCTGGTCTTCTCTGTCCCCTACCCGCACGACCCTTATAATAAGGCCCCATTAACCAAGGTGAAGAAAGGCACAAGCCCAAGTTTTTTTACCATTTACTTTACAAATCATCTAGGACACCTACCTTACTTATTTGCTTTTCCCCTTCTTACCCACAGCAATATTCTTCCCATTCCGTCATCCCATTTCTACTTCAAGGTCTTAATCTGTCCTCTGTACTTGGAAAACCCTTCTCTTATACACCTCAACCCACTTATTTCTGTCTGTTGATTATAAAAGGAGGCAGTGAATATCTGAGAAACACACTGAAAGGACCCAAGGAAATGGTTTTAAAAACTAACAAGGAATGGGTGAAGTATATGGTATGCGAATTATATCTCAATAAAGCCGTTTAAAAAAAAAGAACAGAGATATATGCCCAGGAGAGGGATTGCTGGATCATATGGTAAGTCTATTTTTAGTCTTGAGGAATGTCCAAACTGTTTTCCACAATGGCTGCACCAAACTACATTTCCACCAATACTGTAGGAGGGTTCCCTTTTCTCCACACCCTCTCCAGATTTATCATTCATGGACTTTTGAATGATGGCCATTCTAACTGTTGTGAGGTAATACCTCATTGTAGTTTTCATTT